CTGTCACAAAACAGAGAGACATACTCTTGATTGTGCCCAAGCTCCTCCAATAACATATTCAACCAAATTGCTTATTTACTAGCTTGTATAGCTGCTACATATTCTGCTTCTGTTGTGGATGTAGCCACAACTGACTGCAATTTTGAAACCCATCTTACAGCTCCACCAGCAATTTTGAACACATATCCTGTAGTATATTTGCTTTTATCCAAATCCCCTGCATAGTCAGAATCTACATACCCATTTATTAGTAAGTTTGATCCTCCGTAACATAATGCAACATTTGAGGTCCCTTTGATGTATCTCAGGATCCTCTTTACTGTATTCCAATGCTCTTTGCCTGGATTCGCCATGTACCGACTAACCACTCCCACTGCTTGTGCAATGTCTGGTCTTGTGCATATCATAGCAAACATTAAACTTCCCACTGCCGATGCATACGATACTCGAGACATCTCCATCATCTCTTCTTCACTTCTAGGACTCATACTGTAGGATAATTTGAAGTTAATAGGAAGAGGGGTAGAAATTGACTTACAATCTTGCATGCTGAATTGTGACAAGATCTTCTTCAAGTAATTCTTTTGTGAAAGCCAAATCTTCCTATTATTTCCGTCTCGGTGAATTTGCATCCCTAGAATCTTGTTTGCTGATCCCAAGTCCTTCGTTTCAAATTCTCTAGCCAGTTGTGCCTTCAATTCTTCAATATGATCATTGTTGGGTCCTGCAACCAACATGTCATCCACATACAACAGTAATATAACAAAATTGTTATCACCAGACCTCTTGAAATAAGCACAAGGGTCTGCATTAAGTTTGTTGTATCCAAGGCACATAATGAAGGAATCAAATCTCTTATACCAACACCTCGGCGCCTGCTTTAGACTGTACAGAGATTTGTTCAACTGCAAACTAAGTTCTTCTTTTCTTTTTCTTCAAAACCTTCAGGCTGGAGCATATAAATCTCTTCTTCAAGATTTCCATGAAGAAAAGCTGTTTTAACATCTAGTTGCTCTAGATGTAAGTTCAATGTAGCACACATTGCAAAATACTCGAACTGTTGTTAGTCGAACCACAGGAGAAAATATTTCATTGAAATCAATACCTTCTTTTTGAGCATATCCTTTGACCACCAGTCTTGCACGATACCTCTCAACTTGATCGTCACCATTTCGCTTGATTTTGAAGACCCATTTGTTACCAATTGGCTTCTTTCCTTGTGGTAGTGGCACAAGGTCCCATGTATTATTTTTATGAGGGCTTCGATTTCTTCTTGCATCGCCATCATCCACAATAAAGCATCTGAGCTGTTTATTGCCTCCTGGTATGTTGATGGCTCACCATCATCTGTTAAAAGGTAGTATGCAACATTTCCTTCTATAACATAATCTGAGTGTCAATTGGGACGTCTTCTCACATGATCTGATGGACGAGTTGTTGGAGCTTCAGAAATCTTTGGTTCTTGTTCATCATGTGCTGGTTCTACTTCAGAAGAATCTCCTTATTCAACCTCCTTTTCCACATGTATCTGTGTAGTCTTTGACTTTTCAGCGCTATCATCATCTTCTTTTCTTTTTAGCTTATCTTCTACAAAGATAACATCCCTGTTGATGATCACTTTGCGGGCAGTGGGATCCCACAAGCGATACCTCTTTACTCCATCAGCATACCCCAAGAATTTGCATTTCTTGGATTTTGGATCCAGCTTTGAAATTTCTTGGGAGTTGTACATCACGTACACTATACTTCCAAATACATGGAGATTTGAATAATCAGCTGGTTTTCCAGTCCACATCTCCATTGGTGTCTTCAGCTCTATTGTAGTTGATGGAGCTCGATTCACCAAATAACAGGTGGTATTGACTGCTTCTGCCCAGAATGATTTTTCTAGGCCTGCATCCCTCAACATTGCTCTTGTTCTTTCTAACAAGGTTCTGTTCATCCGTTCTGCCACTCCATTTTGTTGAGGAGTGTTCGCCACTGTGAACTGTCTTTTGATGCCTTCTTTCCTGCAAAAATCATCAAATTCTTCGCTTGTGTATTCTCCTCCATTATCTGTTCTGAAACACTTGATCTTATTTCTAGAATCAAGTTCCACCCGTGCTTTGAAGTTTTTGAAAGTGGAAAACACATCTAACTTCTTCTTAATAGGGTACACCCAACATCTCCTGGAGTAGTCATCAATAAATGAGACAAAGTATTTTGCTCCGCCTAGGGATGTAACTGGTGCTTGCCATACGTCAGAGTGAACCAATTCTAGAACACTTTTACCTCTAGAATTTGATGTGTTGAATTTCAACCGATGCTGCTTACTTGTTATGCAATGCTCACACAAAGTAAGTGATACATTTGTTAAGCCTGGAAATAGCTTTTGCTCCACAAGGACTTTCATTCCTTGTTCTGACATGTGTCCAAGTTTCTGATGCCATAGCATTGCAGAATCTGAACTACATGAGGCAACAAAGGCTTCTACTTCTAGCAAAGTCTCTCCCTTCAGCATATACAAGTTTGTTGCTATCTTTTCGCCTTTCAGCACCACAAGCGCTCCACAGAACACCTTCATGATTCCTTTCCGTGTTTCAATCTTGCTTGCATTATTATCCAACAATCTGTAGGTTAATAAATTTTTCTTCAGACCTTTCACGTGTCACACATCTCGAACAACTTTAATTGTTCCATCATACATCTTCAATTTGATGATTCTCACGCCAATGATCTCTAAGACATGATCATTGCAACTATACACAGATCCTCCTGAGACAGGTTCATAATGATGGAACCATTCTCTTCTTGAGGTCATGTGATATGTTGCTCCCGAATCAATGAGCCGTATGTCTGCATATCTCTTTCTACCTTCCACGGTGGTTGACGTTTCACAGCATAGAGCATCTCTATCATCTGAAGTGTTTGCAGTATTACCTTGTGGATTGGAGTTTTTATTTAGACTCCAACAATCCTTCTTCAAGTGACCCTTTTTTTCACAGTTGTAGCACTTTAAATTCTTCTTGCTTCTCGACTTCGATCTACCATGTTTGTGACTGCTGCTTTGGCCAAGTTCTGTTGATCTCCCTCTCATCGTTGTCAACGCTTCTGCTTGTTGCAGATTTCCTTGTCTGTCTTCCTTGTTCTTGCGCCGATTTTCTTCTTGTAGAACAACAGCTGCAACGTCATTGAAGACTAGACTGGTGACATTACTGTTTGTCAAGTTGATGATGAGTTGATCATACGAATCTGATAGACTTTGAAGTAGAAGTTCAACACGTTCTTGTTCTCCTATTGTACATCTTAAAGATGTAAGCTGAGAAAATAAAGTATTCAGTGTGTTTAAGTGCTCCGTCACTGAAGTAGATTTCGGCATCCGGAGAGTGTACAATTTCCTCTTAAGGAAAATTTTATTGTGCAACGATGTGGCCTCGTACAATTTGGTGAGATGATCCCATATCTCCTTAGCTGTCTTCTTCTTCTCGATGCTTGACAATACTTCATCTGCTAATGCTAGATGAAAGTTTTCCATAGCATTCCCGTCCATTTCGATCCATTTGTTGTCATCTGAGAAATCTATCGGCCTTTCACTGATAGCTGTTAGACAACCGTCTTTCCTCAGGATGGCATTCATCTTCAATTTCCACAATTAGAAATTTCTCCCATTGAATTTTTCAATATCAAATTTCGTTGCCATAGCTTCTATTACGGATAGCTCCCACTATTTCACTATCGTGAATAGTTCTCTGGAGCCTTCAAAGAATGAGTAATACCTTCTTACTTTTTTATGTTGGAGGATCTACCTTTTGGTGGCAACCACAAAGATAATAAGTAGATATTACACACTCTAATCTGGCTCAGATACCAATTGTTGCGGAAGACGGCTATCGGATAGAGCAAAATCGCAACTAATAATTTGAGAAAATAAAAATGAAGATAAAAGAGACACAAAATTTACATGGAAAACCCCTAAATAATATAGGGTAAAAACCACGGGCAACGGTAGAAGAATTTCACTATGAGAAAAGGAATTACAACCTCTCTTGATCTACCAATGAGAAAACAATGATAATTCTCTCTTGATAAAAATGAGAAAACAACTCTAAAAAAACTCTATAAATTCTCTCTAGTATTGGAAGAAAGCTAGAATGCTTTGGGATGGTTTTAAAGCTAAATGAGTTAGGGTATTTATAGTTGAAATTTAAGGACTAATTTATAAATACCCTAAATTATAATGGCTAAAAATATAATTCTACCATTATCCAAAATTCAACATTTTCCAGCTACTTTTGGTGCCAAATTTCCAGCTAATTTTGGTGCATTTATTGTGCACACCTGCCACCGAAATTTGGCCACTTCTATGTTGACTTTTCAACAGCTTGAAGTGACGACAGCAAACTACGACTCCTGCTCGACGAGTAGACCAATCGATACTTATACCGGTGGCAACACGGTCATAGCTTTGTCTTAACCGGGGAAACGAACGGCCGCACATTGTAACTAAAGAACATATTATTAAATTGAAACCGCAACATAATCTATTAACTGCATCATAACGATTAAAGTTATGACCGCATTTACAATTTAAAAACATAATTATTTTCAAGAAATAAATTATCCGGTACAATGACTTACTCAGAATTTGGTTAAAACATTATACCTACAATTTGTTAAGACAGAACATTTGACCTACAATTCAGTTCAGTATAATCCTATCTTAGTTACAGCACAGCACACAATTATGTTAAAAAAATTACACAAAAAAAAATATCAGTAAAAGAATAAGCAAAAATTCCAATCCAAATCTCATCATTATCCCATCACTATACAATCCATCTAAAAATAAGAATTAATTAAAAAAAAGGAATGTGGAAACAAAAATAACCTTCTTTTCTTTAAAAAAAATGGAAAGTAACCAGCTGAGCTAAGCATGCACAGGAACTTGTACCGTGTGGTGGTTGCTAACCTCATGTGCTCAGAGATCGGATCACATTTCAAGTCGTTTATATGTAAAATTGTTATTGTCCGACAGGACCTTGAGCTACCAGCACCGGAGTCGGCTGATTGTAGGGTGGCACCGGCAACACCGTACTCGAAACAGGGGGTGGAGGAGGAGCAGCAGGAGGAAGTTGCGGCGGAGGAGGATTTGGATCAGTGATAGGCGGTGGGGGTGTAGGAGTAGGGTCCTCAACGGCTGGTGGGCTGGGTGGTGGGTCAGGGCTAGGCTGGTTAGAGCCAGCTGCGGGCGAAGGCGGGCTATAAGAGGAGGAGGAAGAAAAAGGTGGTGCATTAGGGAAGACATTGGGAGGAGGGCCGCAAGAGTCGCCGTCGCACTTGTGCGAAAGCGACTTACGGTGGCCGTGACGAAACAACCCGAATCCCAATACAAGACCCGAAACCACTAACACCGTAACTATGAAGATGAAGATCTTTGTTGCTTTCCCCACATAGCACATCATTTTTATTGTTTTTTTTATCATGCAAAGAACAAGAAGCTGCATATTTGAAAAACAGGGCCTGTCCCTGTTTTTGTTCGGTTGTGTGAGGAGATAGGATTTTTGATCTGGCCCTTGTTTTCATAGTCAGTTTAATACAATGGGAGGTGAGTTACTGAGTTTGGTGAGAGGTCGGGTTGGATTTGGGGATCCAAGGGAAATAAGGGTTGGCGAATTAGTGATGATTGCACGTGAAGGCCATTTTGGAAGACAGGGAAATATGAGCCTTTTGCAATGCTTCCAAATTAGTGCCCAAAGCTCAATCTTTTTACGACCCTTAATATAAATTTATATGTTTATCATGATTACGAGTGAATTAATTTAATGATTATGGATTAAGGAGTTTATCAGATAAATGTAGGGTTAGTGAAACTTTGAGGGAATATTTTGGGACTGGAGCCAGAGGCATGTTTGCCATGTCACTCGTCGAGATGGAGGTGGTTGCTGAAGAGGGCTTGTGATTCTGGCCCGCGTGGGATTTAAACCTATATTTTGAAAATCGGACCGTACCGGCCGGTTCAACCGGGAACTGTTACTTAGTCCGATTTAATTTAAACCGGTTAAACCGCTATTAGTAAACCGGCCAGAATCACTGAACTGGACCGGCTGAAAACCGAAAAAACCAGAAATTTTGTTTTTTTTTTTAAAAAATTAAACCAAACGTCGTTTGTTAAACGAGCCAAGTCAAACTCGAGTATTGCTGAGCTCGACTCGAACTTGAAAATTTTAAAAGTAAGCTTAACTCCACTTAAACTCACAAGTTAAAAATTATCAAGTTCAACTCGAACTCAAAATATAATATTGAAAGTTGAACTCAAAAAGGCTTGAACTAAAAAAAAAATTTAGAAGCTCAATTGAAGCCTAAAATTCGAGCTTGATTGAAGTGAAAGAATAGTTCACTCAGTGCTTACCAAAAGGCTCTATGATTTTGAATGTCAAATTACCTCTATTATTTATATAAGTTAATTGTGATGCTCTTCTATGTTTCTTAGCAATGTGGGATTGTTTTGTTCTCATATTTTTACTCTTTAGACTTTTGGGATGCTCTTCTATGTTTCTTAGCCATGTGAGATTATTATTTTTTTTTAAAATTAAACCAAACAATATCATTTTGTTATGATTTTTTTAACCCCAAATTTATTTTTTAATTATAGTTATATAATTATATTTATTATTTAATATGTTTTACCTTAAATATTATGTTGTAGTTAATTTAAATCATTTTGTTTCACTTGATTTAATGGTTTTTAATTTATATATGTTATGATTTGCTTTGAATATGACTTGTGATATAAAAAAATATTTTTTATTAAATATTTTTGGTATTTTTATTTAATTTTTTAAATAATTATGACGTCATCCGGTTATTTCGATCGGTCAGACCGATTCGACCGGTTGAACTAGTGAGCCGGTAGTATGGCCGGTTCGCTAACCGGTCCGATTCTGAAAATAATGGTTTAAACCATTGACAAAGATCCCTCGCATTAACTCTCAAAAAGTTTGATATATTATTTATTAAAATTTTAAATTTATTATTTATAATACTTCAACACTGGTAGATGAGTTCGAGAACAAAATTAATAAATTAAAAAGAGAGATAACATTATTGCTTTGAGTAATTCAACCTCGACCACTTATATTTTCATTCGTATCCATTTTACCTTTTTTTTTCTTTCATATTTTATTATTTTTCGTAGTATCTCAACACCTATAGATGATGAGATTAATGTATTGAAAAATTGACACCCCTAATTTAAAGTAATAAATATAGTGAGATTAAAAATATCATTTAAGATTATAATTTAAATTCATAATGTATTTTTTTTAAAGTGCCAATAGTTCTTGAACATGAATGATACATGTTGAATTCTCCTTTTCTTTATTTGGGTGCAAGAGATATAAGTCATTCATAAGGATAATAACCTGATAATTTTTCATCTATCCTATTTTAAATTGATATGAATTTAATTTGTCTCGATTTTGATTTTAAAAAATAATAATTTATTTATTCTAGATCCGAACTCAAAATTGAAATTAAACCCGATTTTAACATGATCTAATCTTCATTAATAATTTTATATAAAATCAAAATTTATCAAATTCGAAGATTTTTTTACCATCCCATGCACAAGGAAAGGTATCAACTTATCCATTACTTAATGGAATCTATGGTATTAGTCTTTCAATTTACAGCCACAAAATAAGTAAAAGATTGATATTTAAGTAGTTGAGTCTATTCCTCAGTAACTTTAATTAAGATGATGTCATAAATTAATGGATACTAATTCGATTATGAAAATGTTAAAATGTTTTTCTTTTAAATAATAATTATTAATATTATTTTAGAAGTTTTTTAATAATTTTTTATAATCATTTGTTGAATAAATTTATACAAATATAATTTTACATATAGAAAATATTTTCATTTACGTACATTTGATCCCAAAAAGAAAAGCTTAAGCTGGTCAAAAGGGTGTCGGAGAGAACGCTGGTATACTCATTGTCTCACTAATATTATCATTCCTGAAAATCACAAAATAATAGAACTAAATAAATTTAGATAAATAAATATATCATAAAATAAATATAAACATAAAATATTAACCAACCTCGAATAGAAGGAATTCTCATTACGTCTAACCCTGTGAGGCTTAGACTTGTTTTCACCATGACTCCTCTTCTCAGCAATCTTATTCCTAGCTTCCGAACCGAAAACGACGCCGTCTTCCCTGATGACCTGGAGAGTTGGTCTCCAATGTCGAGTTGCAGACGAGGCGGAGCCACCACCACCACCCGATTTGTTCAAGCGTTTCGCATGGTGGTGACCGGGGGGGAGAGGAGTCACCGCGTGAGGAGCCTCATACTCATCTTCATGTGACGGGGAGGCTGATGTCGATGGGCGATAACATGAAGCTAATTCTTGGAAGAACTTCATTTATGTGGCGTTGGAGTCAGATTGTGAGGAGAAGGAGAGAAGGTTCTGGATTGGTTTGAACTTGAAAGGAGGGGGAGGTGGATTACTTATATATACACACACATGCACGAGAGAGGGGAGTGGGGGTTAGATTTGTGAAGTAAATGATGTTGAAAGTGATTTGCTTTTGTTACATTGATTGGAAAAAAATATTTAATCTTAGTTTAGTTAGAAAAAATGCAAAATAATCCACCCTGATAGACATTTGTACCGTACAGGGGCGAATATTTAATGGAGTCGATTCAAGTAAAAAACAATTAAGTTAGTTGATTGAGGATTCATATTTTTTAATTCAATATTTAGGATTTATTTGTATCACAGTAATTGATTTTTTAAAAAATAAATTTTGAAAAATGAATTATAATTCCTAAAAAGTATTTTTTGGTGTTTGGATGATATTCTATAATTCATTTTCCTATTTTTGGTAATCTTTACGATAATATTTTCTGAAATTTATTTGATATAAACATATATTATAATTTTTTTATCTTTTATTTTTAATTAGATTAGTTTTATTTTTAAAAAACATTTTTACAATTTTTTATATAATATTTTATTTTTTTAAGTAGTTTGATATCACTCACTCTTTTATATAATTTAAATTAATAATTTTTATCGATTGTATTATAAATATATTAATTTAGTTGTAAAAGTTTTCGTAATTATTTTTCAATGGGAATTTTAACATTATCTTCAAAGTTTAACATCTAATTAATTTTATATGCTTGGAATTCGATTGATATAATCATATTTTTTTAAAAAAAATATGTTTGATATTTATTATAACTATATAACATTAAACAATGTTCTTCTAATTGTATAAAATACCACACTACATTACCGTAATAATAATGTCCATGTGCATAATTAGTACTACACAACTTTCAAACAATAATATTAACCAAGTACATAATTAGTAGTACAATATAATAAGAAAATAATATTATCCAACTACATAACTAGTACTACACCACATTTAACCAACAATACCATAGGAATACATAATTAGTATCACACCACATTAATACAACAACATTATCTAAGTGCATAATAATTATTAAACATCACATTAGAAACACATAGTTTTAGCCTTGGGAAACTTTTGAAGTCAATTTTTCCTATGTTTCGATTTTTTTAGCTAAGAAAGTTTTAGCCTCGAAATCATTCTTTACAAGAAAATCAAACACATTGCAAAGAAATTCATCATCAAATCCTTTATTTTTCATCGACATCACTTCTTCATAAAGTTGCAGTGTTTTATCCTCAGTAATTTTTTTTCAATGATTCAACAATCTTATCAAGTTTTTCACCTACAAATTGAATTTGATCATCCTCAACACTTTCTTGGATATTTTTCTTTTACGCTTTGATGAACCAGATGAAGAAAATTTACTTCTTTCCTCATCGACATCTTTAGTATCGAAGTTTAACGGCATTGAAACTTCATTTGCATCATCTAAGTTTATACCGACAAATGTTTTGCAAAACTTCATGTTGCCATATCTTAACTAACAACCAAAGTCATCTCATCATAAGAATCAATTTTTTGATTTAAAAATGATGCATATTTCGAGTTTGCCTGTTATATTTACAAAATAATAATAATTAGTAAAATATAAATTTAATGTATTAGAATATGAGTGTATAAAGATTACCATCATTGTAATATCATATATCATCCTATCACATGTTCTCATTTCATGTTGTCATCCTATCTGAATCTACTTTCTTCGCGAATTTTGCATATAATTTTCCATGTGTTCTTTACTGTCTGCATATATCCACGTGTTTGGTGTCACACTGAACATGAAATTTTTCAGAGATAATTATATCAACGCGTTTTATAGAAGCTGCTCTGAAGTATTAGATGGTTTATTCCCTTTTCGAGCCTCACATGTCAGTACTATTAGAAAAAAAAGATGTTCTATTGATTTTGTCCATTTGAAATGTTTTGATGTGCCCCTCTTTACTTGATTTAGGATTGCTCATTACTGTAACATCCTCCATGCCGGGTTAGTGATTAATTTGTAAAGTTTCTGCATTTGGTGATTTAAGTCGAATGATGGAAGAGTTTAATGACTTATTTGAGTTATTTTGTGTAGGATTGTTAGAAGGACAAAATGGTCTTTTTATAGCAATATAATTATTGGGGTTAGTATTATATTAACCACGTGGATGTATAGGAAATTAAAAATAAGCTTCCAGAGTCATCTTTTTCTTTCTTCTTCTTCATACTTGAGACCCAAGCTAAGGTAAGATTCTCTTGTTAGTGAATTTCTTGATGAATTTATGGTTGATTCATGACCATTAGGCAATAGTTAAGCTTAAAGGAAGTTTAAATTGTTTTAAAACCTCAAGATGAGAAGTATATGAATAATTAAAGAAAGGAACTAGAAAAGTGAAATCTTAGATTAGAGTTCATAATAAGAATTGGAAGTAAGATTTGACTTGTCATCAAGTTAATTAAGGGATATGAAGTGTTAGAATTGGAATTAGAACACCTTGAAAATTTAGTGTGATTCTTGAATGCCATGTAAATGATGGAATTTTGGGTTTAAAGAAGTGATTATGGAATAGAAATGAGTTTAAATATGTGTATGAAAGTTAGGAATATTAAAGGAAGTAAAATATGAAGGTTTAAACTGAAATGAAGTGAATTTCGAGCTCAAAATAGGATTTCTGGGCTAGGGGAATCGATACCCATTCAAGGGGAATCGATACCCCCTCAAACGAATATGAATTTCCAGAACGCTAGAGGGGAATCGATACCCCCAGGGGGAACCGATTCCTCCATAATAAAAAAAAGAAAAGAAAGAAGAGAGACTAAACTATCAATTCCTTAAATTGGTAGGCTATTAGAGGTTAATTTCAAGACTTAGGCATCTGATAATCATCTTGAACATTTTACTTATGTAGATATTGAGCCTAATTGAGTTCCGGAACCATCGACAAGTAGGATCAATCGAGGGAAAGACAAAAAAATCTAGGTGAGTGCATATGCATAGCATGAATATGTATTTTATTCAGTTCTAGACTTGTGATAAGTCTAGATTCAATATTTTGATACATGATCGTAGTTCATATGATGATATATAACATGAATCCATACCATATGCATTATGGGACATGAATATGAAAGAAAAAGTTATATGAGTTATATGATAAAGGTATGGAAATAATATGTCTACGTGTTATAAATTAGATAAATTGTGAAAGACCATGTTATGTAAATGAGAACTATAGGTATAGTTGGCATGCCAAGGGTAGAGGGTCTATGTGGTCCTTCGGGACATATATGTATTCTTTGGAACATGTGTGAGGTCTGGTGAGACACCTACTTGATCCTTTGTATATGTATATGATTCTTAAGGAATAATATGTGGTCCTTCGGGATATATATGTATTCTTTGGAACATGTGTGAGGTCTGGTGAGACACATACTTGATCCTTGGCATATGTATATGATTCTTAAGAAATGATATGTGGTCCTTATGGACATTATTATATGGCACTACGGTGCAATTCTACGCGGCACTCTGGTGTAATTCTAAGTGGCACTTAGGTACAATTATACGAGCTGTGGTGACAGCATAGTGCACAACCTCACAATACTCACATACCTTAGGTTCTCTGTATGGTACCATGGGCTAATGAACTTACTAAGGCGAACTTATGAATGTGAATTTGATAAGTATATGTGTAAGAAACATGGTTTTGGTTATTGCATTGTTTACATACATCTTATTACTACAACCCATCTCATTTTGGCAATTACTTTATATTTATTGATATTATTATTATATTGCCTCACTAAGTCGATGACTTAGCGTGTGAGTGTTTCACACGTAGGATCGGATAAAGTAGACGATCGAGGTTATGCAGCTGGACAACATTACTCCTGCAACTATCAGATCAAAAGTAACTTAATCAGTAGGTCATTTTGTTATGAAAATGGATGTTGGCATGTAATTAAAGAGTTAAGTTGTGTATGCTCTGAATATTTTGGTAAACTTATATTACCATATGTAATAAAAGTCAATGTAATATCTCTGACTCGTATCCGGGTTGGGATACGGGTTGGGGGTGTTACAATTACTACATGAACAAAGCATACAAGTATCATGATATAACAGAATATATATGAAACGCATTTAAAAAATTAAAAATCTTCAACTGTATAAACTGTATGATTAATACTTTGAATAACTGGCATATTCTTCACCTAAAGGCTAGACTCACGAAAGCTAATGAGAATTGAAGAGCAATTCAATTTAACAATGAATAACTGGCATATAATCAGTCCACATGATTTGCACAATTTCATTTCTCTTGGTAGCCCATTCTTTAGCTTTTTCTTTCTCTTTTCGTTGCGTTAGAGTTGATACAAACAAATCATACTCACTTCTCGTTGTGTAAGAGTTGATACTATCAAATTAGACACATGGTCCTCATATAATCCTTCATTAATTAAATCATTTGAATCAATTTTCATTATATGATTATGAATGATACAACAACCTAACACTATATTTATTCGTGTTTGAAAATCCCAAAATGGTTCAGAGTGGAAACATTTCTTTAAAATTCCAAAGACTAGCTCAATAGTGGTTCGTAGTGATAAATGACGAAGATTAAAGAGTTCCTTTGCATTTTCTAGATGATGATCGCTAAACTCTTTTAAATGATATCGAACACTGAGATATGGAGAAATAATTTCATTTCGAATGTCATAGCCAACATCGACAAGATAGTATTTACCTACAAGTTGATAAAATGTTATTATTACTTAATATATTATAAATTTAATTAAAATATTTTGTATCATTAATGCTAGTTGTTACCTTATGGAATCTTAAATCCCATTGGATGTATAAGTGCATCAGTTAAAATACGAGAATCATGCGCACTGCCATCCCAACCAGCTAGAACATAAGAAATTTTCATACCAAAGGTAATGGCAGCCGCTACATTTTGTGTCATTCCCCCCTTACGATTACAAAATCT